GACTATGTCGGGGCATGTCGCTGCTCCCTCAACTGCAACTCAATCTTTAACTCACGTCGCCTAGCGGCCTCCTATAACTCCAGTAGTGTATCACATCGCTGGTTGGAAATAAACTGATAGATGTCAGTCTTGAGCATGCTCAAATAACGTATCATTTGAGCCTACTCAGAAGCAAACTCAGGGCAAAACATCTCCCTCTTGGTAAACATGTGGGTGATCTCCGTCACCGACTCTGTACCCTATCTCAAATCCAAGAAATCTTGAAACAACCACCCGCGCTCGACCCGTGGAATGTGTTGAGCATGGAACATATACCTAAACTGCTCCCAAGTAATAGTAGCTCTCTAGTCATCAGTATACGATCCATTCATCAATCTCCACCAGTCCTTAGCCCCAGACCTTAACAAGTTCAAGGAACATCTGACCTTATGGTCAGTATAACATGAGCACATGAAGAAACATTCCTCCATGTCAAACAACCACCTTATGGCTATGATTGGATCCTAAGTCCCATCGAAGGTAGGGGGCTTCATGTTATCAAAGTCTCAGCTAGGGCTGCATATATGTCATCAAAATACTCCATCACTAGCGGTCTTGATAGACCCAAACATCTCTGGAACCTGACCCCGAACAATATTGACCACCTCCTCACAGAGGATCTCCCTGACCCAGTCCTCTATCAATTTGGCCCATCCTGACTGATGATCGTGGGTGCTGTCGGGGCACCCTAATCGCCCTTACCTGATCTCGATCCAGATCCAGTCACAAAACGCCTCGTAGCCACCATACTAAAAATACATCAAGAAGATATCAGATAACTCACACAAATAACAGGGAACCAACTCCCAACTAAACCCTAGGGTTGTGACTTCCTTGCTACGCATACGCGTCCTGTGCTTTTAGTAGTACAGACCTATAATACCTTCCACACCTACCCAAATTTTTCTCAAGTATCATCACAATACCCTAACAATATACATATACATGGTGGTCGCTCAATCCTCACTCCTAGAGTAAGGCTAACTATATCATAACTGACCTACCAGCCTCGCACAACCCACCCGTGAAACTTCCACCAACCCTGCAGCACTCGTGTATGCTAGCCATACATAACGCTAGACCCCATAGACATCCGAATAATCGTTCCTACTCTAAGCCCACAACCAAACAAGGAACAGGAAATAAAGCCGAACCAAACATTCTCAGGCTATAAGATCTTAATTATGTACAACCGTGATGCATACACTAAGCAACTATAGTAATGATGTCAATCTCATATAAAGAAAAACCCTAGGCTATCAGGCATCATATAATCAGGCAATTCTATCAGGTAATTCCTGAAGATCCATAGCCTAGTACTAGCATGTAGTTCTAACGTATCACAGTATCAAATAACCGTATGGTATTTTGGGGCTACTTACTAGCTCCGGCTGATCGTACACTCTGCATTTTGAAAACCATTTTGAAAATATTTCCTTGATTTGAGACTAGATTCACATGAGTGTTCCTCCAATTCACTCATACCAAGACTCTGATACCAATTTGTAACATCCATAAAAAATCATGCCAAATTTAAACTTTTTAAGACATTTCAAAACCATTAAACATTACAAACTTGTATTCAAAAATAGTATAATACCAGAGTATCTCAGAAACAAGATCATAAACATGAGGAGCTCTACGACCACACCTTTGCCTTACCGCGATCATCAGATGTACCTGAAACAAAACTGAAACTGTAAGCCCAAAGCTTAGTGAGTTCCCCCAAAATACCCATACATACAAACAATATACATATAATCCCAAACAGCATACTATGGTTCCAGTCAACCATCGTGTTGGAATAACCCAGGCCCTCAACCATCTGGTTGGAATGCCAACATAATATGGGTCCAATCATCCTCGTGATGGAATACCCCAGGCCCACAACCAACAGGTTGGAATGCCCTTATCTAACGGATCATATCAACATAATAACATCTTATCTACCTGGATACCAATCTAACATATTATAATATCATATATCATCTTATCTATCAAGATATCGATCTAACAGATCATACTAGCATAACACATCAGGATAACAATCCAAAGGGACGGCCTTGGTGCCTTCGACCCTTGAGTATAGTGAGGAAAGCTCACCTTGCAAACATCGAACTGAAGTAATAAGCTTAAACTCTTGAATCACAACCAAAGGCTCCACCACCTATATTCACGTTGAAACCATTCCATAAATCTCTAATTTACCAAAATACCCCCAAAAGTCAGATTGGTTAACCCTTGGTCAAAATCAAGGTCAACAGTCAAGGTCAACAGTCCATGTTGACCCTACTCGTCGAGTGCATCTTACTGACTCGTTGAGTCCTTCCAGAACTCAGAAAGTCGTGAAATCCTAATTGACTCATCAAATTTCCAGACAACTCGCCGAGTCCCTGCGTGTTTAAAAGTCGAGAAAACCCTTACTGACTCGCCGAGTCGTCTTGCTGACTCACTGAGTTCATGCTGAAACCCTCAAGGTTAATATTCATCGGACTCGCCGAGTTAGCCATGCAACTCGTCGAGTCCCTTCAGTCCTTTCTCCATTAAGATGATTTTAAGCCATCCTAAAGCTCCATAATGCAGATCTAAGCTCCTAAGTAATACTTCCAACATAAAGTTGCAAACTTTACGTACATGCAAGGTGATAATGGCCCAAGTCAAGCTAAAGAAGAGGTTCTAGGTAAGGGAAAGGAACTATCATGCTAAAGGCTAAAACTTTATTATTATAAGGAACAAGATGAGCTTAGATCTGAAGTTGCAATATTAGATCTTCATTCAACACCCAAAATGAAACACCAACATGCTAAAATGGCCCCAAAACTCAAATATAGAAAGATCTAGCTAGAAGGAGATCAAGTTAACGACTTGTTACCTTCAAATGATGCTAAACAGGAGTACACTTCATATCCACAACCGTTCCTTGCCTCAAACTTGTTGATCTTCAAGCTCCTTGCAACAAGATATTCCTTCCAAGCTTATCAACACACAAATATGGAGAGAAAACACAATTTAGGGTTTCTGAGATCAAACTGGGCTACAAAGGAGGCTAATGACCCTTCAAATAGGGTCCAAAACCCTAGATATTAGGCTTTCATCCTCCAGCTCCAACTCTTCGAGTCGTATCTTGCGACTCGTTGAGTTGGTCACTTAAGTTATGCAGCCAAATTAGTTCCTACATGATGAGTCAAGGCATCCAACTCGTCAAGTCAATCTTTCAAAATGAAAATATAAAACTGTAAAGTTTATCACTGAGAGTCGGGGTGTTACAATTTTTTAATTCTTTGATGGAAAATTCTCCTTCTAAAAACCGAGCATATGTTTTGAGAGAGCGTGCGAAAGCCTAAGCTCCGAAACAAAGGTCTGTTCTGCCAACATTCTCTATAGTTCTTTTCAAAGAATTTGGTAGCCTCCTGCTTAATCTCAGATGGATCAGTAGTCCCGAATCCATTTTCCATAATCCCGTGGATGTGATTTTTCCGGTTCCTATTGTTCATATAACCATGAAAAAAATGTGTGTTTTCATCGCCCTCTACCTCCCATTTTAGTTTTTCTCTTTGCTTTAGGTCCAAAGCAATATTTCTAGCATGTTCAGCAATTTTAACTCCTCCAATTGACCTTTCTTCAAATTCTGCTAAAGTTAAAGGTCTAGATTCAGCTCCCACTTCAATCTCAACCATTCTTTTTTTTTTTTCAAGGAATCCAAATCTTTGTTTTCATCCTTCACTGTATTAGTTTTCCAACACATGATAGGATTTTTTAAGTGTTTTTTATTCAAGAGATATGCATCAGGAGTTCCGAACCCCACGAACTCAGAACATGCTTTCCTAGTTACATTGTCAAATCCATTCTTAAGCATCCATGAGTTATACTGTTTAAACCCGCGGGGGGGGGGGGGGGGGGGGGGGGGGGAATTAGGGGGGCAAAATCATCGCACCGAGCCCTCAAAATAATAGGAGAGTGATCAGAGAGCTCTTTGTCCAATACCAAGCAGGAGGCAAGAGGAAACATGCTTATAAAAGGATTACACACCAAAAATCCATCTAATTTACTCAATCTTGCTCCCTACATTTTAAAAAAAAAAGTGAATCTTTGACCTCTCATCATTAAGTCAGTGAGTTCTCCCCTGTGGATGAATTAATTAAAAGCATTTGCACTAATTGGGCAAAATACGGAGTTTATCCGCTCTTCCGGTCTTCGAACCACATTAAAATCACCCATAAAAATCCAATTAGCGGATATAGATGATTTTAAAGCTAACAACTCATCACATAATTTTGATTTCTCATTTACCGATTGAGGGCCATAAATGTTTACCATGCTCGTGATAACATTAATGCCAAAAAATTACCCAATGTCATAATGAATTACCTGGATTTGATAGTCTCAACTGAACAAAAACAATTTTTTATCCCATATATACACTAGGTCTCTGGATCTTCCCGTGATCAAACCTGCTTGAATCTACAATCTGGATCACCCCAACAGTCTGTAGTATTGAGAGATGGGGAAGATTCTCCTAAATTGGATTCTTGAATGCCAATCATACATAGTTTATGCTCACTCTGAAGCCCACGAACCCAATCAACTTTATGTTTCTCTCTGAGACCTCTAATGTTTAGGGTAATAATGTTCATTTTATGATATGATTCTCCCCATCGTCACCAAGGACTTCCTTAAGAATCGGGCTATCAACATCGACCTCAAAGCTCATGATGTTGCCCACCTCCACTGTGTTTCTAATTTCCGACGAAGAGGATGGTGAATCAACCTTCGTGTCAGGAAGAGGAATTTGAATAGGAATCGAAAATCTATTGAGATCAATGGAGGGATAAGGATAACACAATTGGTTAGTTTGTATGCTCTTTATCATCGAGGTTGTGAGTTCTATCCTCACAAGTCGTGTTTGGTGGTGACGGGTGACAGAGAATTAGGGTTCGATTCCGAAGAGGGAGCCTGAGAAACGGCTACCACATCCAAGGAAAGCAGCATATGCTCACTAACTTGCAATGCATATATATTTGGTTTCTACTACTTTGTATTAAGTTTTTTAATCATAACCAAACAAATGGATATTATTTCAAATTACATAAATACTGATTTCATTTTCTTCATTTATTCACAAACTATCCAAAAATAATTTATACACATTTAATACAGTTTTGCTCCCCAATCGTAGCGAAGCACGACATCCAAAAATAATCTATACACATTTAATATAGTTTATACCCAATCATAGTGAAGCACGACATCCCCACTAGCTGACTTTAATCTCTTAGGCTACCAAAAATAACATTATAAATCTTCTAAATAAAATGACAGAGTTTGCAATACTACAATTACAGTATACTCGAATAAAAATTATAGTTGCTAATATTTCGCTGCTAACTTTTATCTTTTAAACTTCATGGTGCCAATTTGTTTTTTAAACAAATATTATAGAAAATTTGGTTTTCAAATGTATAAAGAAAACTAAAATTTTTATGTTCTCAAATTAGATGGTTGCTTGGTCAGTGTAGTCAAAATAAATTTTAATAGTTTATTGATATTATTATTCTAAGCTTACAATTTGTTGTTTTTTATTTTATTCCTACCGAAAGATACCATAAAATATATAGGTTTGTATCAGAAAGGAATTATGGTTAGGTAAGACATCGCAGTCAATCAATCGATCAATAACTAATATATTTAAATTCTTTAAAATTTTGATCATCAAAATTATCGAATGAGTAATATTATTTTTATGTGTTCTTTTCTATATCTAAATATTACTATGTTGACCCTTGTTATTATTCAATATTATTGGAATATGTATTTTTTGTTTACTAATTAATTGTTTTTGTAGATATTTAATAAAACTTTATTTATAATATATAAATTTTATAACAGTTATACATGATTTTTATTTTGTTTATTTTTATTATTATAAAATAATAATTTTTTTTGTATATATAATAACTACTAGACATAGGGTGTGTTCGGAAAAATTAGCTTATAGCCGATAGTGAGTAGTTTGTAGCTTGTAACGTTTTGTTAAACACAATATGAAGTAGCATTTTGATTTGGAGTGTTTTGCTTAAATTAAACGCTAGAAGTTTGTAGTGTTGAACGAGGCTTTCTGTTCAAAACAAAAGGTTTTGTCAAACGCTAGAAGTTAAAAACTCTTAAACGCTCTCAAACGCTCTGTACTAAACACTCCCATAATTGTTTTCTATATTTATCTTTGTTTTGTGGCATTCAAATATGATGCGTGTTTTAGGAAAAAAAAAAACGACTACTTAAATGACATAAGGGGTTGGGGCTATCTAGTATTTTATACAGATAAAAATAAATATAAAGAGTTTAAACATTAGAGATATCAATTAATTATATATTAAGTTGATAGAATTATGATATGATAATAATTTTGAATCATATTAACATATATAATACAGATAAACCATTAGTGATACCATAAAGGTATGTTTTGTTTGTGTAAGTGAATAAATAAAAAGACACATTTAAATATTTAGTTTGATTTGAATAAACAAAAAATTAAATAAAAATAAATTATAAATGCAAAAGGTTTTTATGATAGTTAACTTCAATTTATAAAGAAAAATTATTAAATAAGTTATTGATGGTATTGGGTCTATTGGTATGACCCAATAGCATGACAACCTCACAGCCTGGCAACAATGCTGGCCAACACTTTTGATTGTAATATTGTGACTGTCTAGCACCATTACATTGACTGCCCAACCAGTTGGCACTGTCGCCAGCAAGCTGTGTAACATCTCAATTCTCAGGTATGAATTTTAAAAGCTTATATATGTATTTTTAGGGCAACTCGACGAGTTGGGAGGCTCCAACTCGTCGTGTAGAATGTTTATGCCCGCGTATATTTCCATGTCTACTCGACGTGTTGGAGGACCCCAACTCAACGAGTTGAGGTTGTGCATGTAAACCCTAAATTTCATGGTTTTGCACCATATATAAAGAACTTATGGCTCAATGTGGCCTCCCTCTTCACCCTTATCGTCCAGAGAAACCCTAGTTCCAGTTTTATACCTTCTTGAGTGTGTTTGTGAGCATTGGAGAGTTATTTTGGTGTGGTTGTGAAGGAATTTAGAGCTTGAAGAAGTTCGAGTAAAAGGAGAAGCAGTAGATCCGACATCTAATCTATTTTGGCAACCATCTTGAGGTAAAAAGTTGATAACATGACCTTTTATTGTTTTGATATAACACCCAGATTCTCAGGTATTCTTATTATGGATTTAATTTTCAAGTTTGAAGGTCTACTCGACCAGTTAGATGCGTTGACTCGTCGAATAGCAGCGGGATTGGGCCACGAGTTAAGTGACCAACTCGCCGAGTCGGAAGAGTGGCGCGACGAGTTGGAGCTAGAGGGTGAGACCCTAATTTCCGGGGTTTTGCACCTTATTTAAGGATTCATTAACCTCTTCTTAGTCCCTTACAACCTCCAGAGAGTCCAACAAACCCTATTTCGTGTGTAAACTTCATTTGAGTGTGTTTAAGCTTTGAAAGGAGGAATTTGTGAAGGAAGCTTGAAGGTCAAGTAGCTAGCAACAAGAAACCCATGTGGATCTACAAAACATGCCTCAGTTAGCTTCATTTTGAGGTATCAATTCGTGATCTTGGCATCATTTCCTTCTAAATCTCATATGGGTGAAGTTAGGGTTTTGCTTTGAAATGGAGTTACTATAGTGTATGAGCTAGATCTGAAGTTGCAACTTTCGATCTGAACCCTCCTTGGGATTTAGGTTCATAAAGTTTCTAGCTTGGGCATGTATGAAAAATATCTTTTTGTTGAACCCCATTTCAAGTTGGATTTGGAATTATGAACCATTAGAGCCTTACATACACGTAAAGTTTGCAACTTTACGTGACAAGTATGCTCTAGGAGCTTAGATCTGCAATATAGAGTCTTTGCATGGCTTAAAAAGCACCTGTATGGATAAAGACATGTGGGAACTCAGCGAGTTACAAGGTCGACTTGGCGAGTCCTATAAAGATAGCCTTAGGCTCGACGAGCCCTATGAGAAACCTAGTGAGTCCAATGAAGAATGTCATAAAGCCGACGAGTTAGGCGTTAACTCAGCGAGTCCGGTGAAGAATGTCATAAACCCGGCGATTCAGGTGTTAACTCGGCGAGTCTGATAAGGATTTCCTTAGGCTCAGCAGTTCAGATGAGTGATGTGATGAGTTGGTAAATTATACTAGGAACTCGGCGAGTAGCTGAGGGTACTTGACGAGTTGAGGTCAACATGGACTGTTGACCTTGACAATTGACTTTGACTTTGACCAAGGGTTGACCAGTTGACTTCTAAGAGCGTTTTAGTAAATTGGATAATTATAGCAAAGTTTTGTCGTGAATATAGGTGTTGGAGGTGGAGCTACATTTAGAGGAGTTTGACATTACTTTCCGATCTACTTATGAGGTGAGTTACCTCACTATACTAAGGGTTCTAAGGAACCAAGGTCGACCCGTTGGATATGTTAGCCTAGCAGCGTTAGTATGTTGAGTATGAAGTTAGTGTTGCATGCTAGTGGTTATGCCAGTTAGGTAGATCTGTAAGACTACATGTGTTGTTATATGATTATCTACATGCTCAGTGGTTATTTTATATATTGATATGTTATGTGGAATGGGTTGAGGTGATACTGCTACGTGCGGTAACCAACAAACCCAGGAGCATTCCAGTTATGATCTAAGTGAGACTCGTATTGTGGGCTCAATGGCAATCAAAATGTGAGCTATGGGACCGGAAGGCAATCCAGACTCACACTGTGGGCCCATGGGTAATCCAGTCTTTAAAGTTGTGGCCCCATTGCATGTTGTTTAGTTTGTTATGTCATGATATTGTTGACATGGTTATGTGGATTGTATGTGTATCAATATATTGGGGAACTCACTAAGCATCAAGCTTACAATTTTAGTTTATTGTTTCAGGTACATAAGGGGATCGTGGCAAGACGAAGGCATGATCGTACAACTCCTCACGTTTTGTTTATGTTTTATGGGAAAACTCTGATATTTTACATTTTTTAAACAAAGTGTAATGATTCAAATGGTTTGAAATGTTTCTTTTAAAAATTCAAATTTGGCTTGAAAATTTTTGTGTTACATTTAATCTCCTCTGATGAAAGTATATGGTCATTTTTGGGGTAAACGGTGGCATTCTCGGATTTGAGCTTGTCAATAGGATGTGGTTTCAGATCTAGCCACCTCTAGGCCTCCATGGACATAAAGTTGCCCAGTTTATCTAGTCATCACCATTCTCCATGCCCTAAACCTCCTATTAAGCTTAGTTTTGGTGTTTCAACCCCTTTGATGCCTTTCATGAATGTAAATTTTGCAACTTTACGTGGTATCTTAGTCCAAAGAGGCCTGATTTGTAGTTTGGAGTCTTGGAGTCGACTGGAAAGGGTTGAACACGTTAAGACAGGAAAACTCAATGAGTTACTTAGCGAAATCGACGATTTGGTTAGGGGTTTCCCCGCTTTCTGGATAACTGAAGAACTCGATAAGTATCTATGCCAACTCGGTGAGTTGGATCAAGTTTCCCGTATTCTAGATGATGAACGACTCGAAGAGTTGATGAAATAACTCGGCGAGTTGGCTTAGGATTTCTCCCAGATTTCTGAACACTAAAGGAACTCGATGAGTTGTTGGATGTGCTCAACGAGTTAGGTCAATATGGACTGTTGACTTTGACCATGGTTGACCAAGTCGACTTTTGAGGGTATTTTGGTAATTTTGGATTTTAATATAATTAGTTATATGGTGGTTACAGGCAATTGAGTTTTGAGTTGTGTGTTAGGATTCGACTTTTTCTGTTTGTAAGTCCCCAGAAACGGGATCTTAATCAGTGATCAAACAATCTAACAATCAAACAATGGAAGAATAGAGTAGAAGAAGAATAACACCAAGCCTTGCACACGTTTATATCGTAAAAACGTCTAGTACAACTTGGACTCAAACACTTGAC